TAAAGTCTGTCTCATCTCTGCTTTGTTTTACTTCTCACACACAGGTAGTCAAACTAGAAACTAACTCAAATAGGTATTTTCCATGGTCTTGTCCTTCACAAACAACCCAGAATAGACAAAGAATTTTAAAATTTAATGATAAACAACTCGATTTAAGAATGAGCAAAAGATCTGAATGGACATTTCACCAAAAAAAAAAAGATGTACAAATAGCCAATAAGCACATAAAAATATGTTCAATGTTATTAGTCAACAACATCTTAAAACATCACGAGGGATACCTGTTAAGCTGGTTAAGAATCCAACTCTTGATTTCAGCTCAGGTCATGATCTCACAGTTCATGAGATTGAGCCCTGAGTCAGGCTCCCTGACAACACAGAGCCTTCTTGGGATCCTCTCTCTCCTTCTCTTTCTGTCTTTCCCCTGCTCACATTCTGTCTCTCAAAATGAATGAATGAATGAATGATGAGATGCTATTGTACACCCATTAGAATGGCCAAAATTAAAAATACTGGCAACACCAAGTGTAGATATAACAAGTGAAAAAATAAAATGACACAGTCACTTTGGAAAATAGTGTGGCAATTTCTTACAAGGTAAAGTATACCTGACTATATCACCCATCAACTCTGATCTTAGGTGGAATTAAAACGTATGTCCACATGAAGATTTTTACATGAATGTTCATAAAAGCTTTAATAACAATCCAAAACCTGAAACAACCCAAATGTCCACCAACGAATGAATAGATAAACAAATTGTGGTATTGTCATACAATGAAACATTATTTAGGAAGGAAAAAAGAATTAACAAACATGATATGGATTAACCTCAAAAACATTATATTGATCAAAAAAAGCTAGACACAGGGGCACCTGGGTGGCTCAGTCAGTTAAGCGTCCAAATCTTGGTTTTGGCTCAGGTCACGATATCATGGTTTGTGGGACTGAGCCCCATGACGGGCTTCACACTCACAGCAATGAGCCTGCTTGGGATTCCCTCTCTCCCTCTCTCTCTCTGCCCCTCCCCTGCTTGCACTCTCTCAAAATAAATAAAAACTTTAAAAAGAAAAGCTAAACACAAAAGAGTACATACAATATGATTCCATTTATATGAAAGTTACTAAAAACAAATAGAAAAACAGAACGTAGGTCAGTGGTTAACTCAGAATGAGAGAACTTATGAACTTAATAACTGGCTAGAAAGAGGAACACAAGGGAGCTAAAAGTAATGGGAATTATTCTACACGGTGCATAAATTACATATGCACTTTATCATATGAAAACTACAGCTCAATAAAGTTGATTTTGTTTAAAGTCTCCACAAGGCTTTTTGTGAAACTTGACTAATTCTAAAATTTATATAGAAGAGCAAAGAATTAAAAATGTCCAGGACAATTTTTAAATAAGGAGAAGGAATGTCATCTTATCAGATATCAAAATATTACAAAGTTACATTATTCAGGACAGTGTGGAACTATTATAAGAACAGACACATAGAACAGTGGAAGATCCAGAAACAGACCCATGCATACTTGACTTATATTAGTAATGACTCTGCATTTCGGTGGGAAAAGACAAACCATTCAACAAATAGTGCCAAGATCATTGGTTTTCCATGTGAAAAAAAATTATATCTCCATTTCATATGCCATACACAAAATCAGTTCCAAATAAAAACCTCAAGTGTGATAAGCCAAAAATTTTTAAACAATAAAGAAAATACAGGACAGTATTTTTATGACTTCAAAGTAGATTGAAGTCTTAAACAAGAAACACAGGAGGAAGAGTTAAGATGAAGGAGAAGTAAGGGGACCTTGGGTTTTTCTCATTCCTCAAACACAGCTGTATTGAGGTCAGATTACTTGGAACACACAGAAAATAGATTTGCGGAGCAGCAGAAGGATCTCCACAGTTGGAGGGAGACAGCTTGGCAGATGCAAAGTGCATAGACATGAATTGGGGAAGAGAAAATGCCGGAGCTGTGGAGGGGAGGAAACACTTTCTGTGGAGACACAAAAGGGAGAGAATAGAGGGGTTGAGAAAGTGCAGCATCGAGTTAGCACAAGAGGAAAACCTCTCTGGACCATGGACCGGGGAGCTGGAAATACTGAGTGTCCCAATTCTTTTTTGCAAACAGATTTTGGAGCTCCAACCTGGAAGCTTTGGAAGTGTGCAATTTTCTCTGGAGTGGAGCCATGGCGTGCACTCCTGGGGAGGAGGGAGCTAGCCCCAGAGTGCACAGTGTGGTGTAGCAATCTCTGGGATGCACAGGGAGAGAACAGTCCCCTTCCTCTTAGAAGAGGATTTATTGCCTCGCCAAGGACAAAAGACCCTGCAGGTGCCAGCCAAAGGCCTTTCATCAGCAGGACAGAGAGACTCTACTCCAGAGGAGGGGAGTAGATCCATGCCATGCCGGTCACTTATCACTTTGGATTTTGAATCCCAGCTGCGCACCAAGTGCCGGGTCCTTAAGATTTTAGGTTTTGAATCCCACACATGCACCAAAGAAAAAATGTAAGAGAAATGCAAGACAGTTTTGGCACAGGGCGAGGTGACTTCCCCCACTAATCCTCGAGGGCTGCCTGAACAGCAGGGGTTGAGGTCCCCAGCTAATGACTAGAGATTGGGGTGGAGCCATTTCTCCCCAACACCAACACGGTGGGATCAACACAGCAGCCCCCAGTAAAGTAGGACCCACTTACACCAAACCCTTCCCCACCATGCCTGGCAACTGTTTATTTATTGGGGCAAGACTGACACTGAGCCAGCACAGCCACCACCACCCCCAGGCACCAACAGAAAACTTTTTTCTTTTTTTTCTTTTTTTCATTTTTACCATTTTCTTTTTTTCTTTTGGAATCAGGTTCATAGTCTCTAATTAGGTTTTTGTCATTTCCTTCCTTTTTTTTTTTTTTCTTTTTGAATCAGGCTTTTTTATCCTTTTCTTTTTTCCTTCTGCTTTTTTTTTTCCTCTTTTTTTTTTCTTTATTTTTCCTTGGAATCAGCCTTATGGTTTTTTTGATTCCCTGTTTGATTTTTTTCTGTTCCTGTTCCTAATGGAATCAAGCTACTCCCTCTTTCTTTTCCCAGGATTACTTCAACAAACAAATCAAAGCACACCTACTTAAAGTCCCAAACATTTCACCACTGCAAATAAGGAGGAGCTCTGCAGAGGACTGACCAGTGGGAAAGAGCAGCCAGAACATAACAGCAGAGCACACACAGCATACACCAGAAACACTTCCTGGAGTGCTGGCCCTAGACAGTGTATGACCCCTTTCTAACATAGTAGTACTCTCAGGTGAAGGACACATAACAAGCTTTTAAAACATGCAAAGACAAAAAAAAAAAAAAACAAAAAAAAAAACAAAAAAAACAAAAACATAGCCAAATGACAAGACAGAGGAATTCTCCCCAAAAGAGAGGTCCAGAAGAAATCACAGCCAGGGACTTGCTCAAACAAATATATAATATATCTGAACAAGAATTTAGAACAGCAGTCATGAGACTACTAGCTGGGTTTGAAAAAAAGCATAGAAGACACCAGAGAAACCCTAGCTGCAGAGATCATAGACCTATAGTCAGGATGAATTTTAAAAATTCTATAACTGATATTGAAAGTAAGGGAATGGAGAACCATCGATCATGCTAATGGAGACCAAAGTCAAAAGAAAGCTGGAGTAGCCATACTTATATCAGACAAACTAGATTTTAAAACAAAATCTGTAACAAGAGACAAAGAAGGGCATTATATCATAATTAAGGGGTCTATACATCAAGACCTAACACTTGTAAATATTTATGCCCCCAACATGAAAAACACCCAAATATGTAAATCAATTAACCACAAATAAATTAATTGATAATAATAGAAGACTTTAATATCCCACTTACAACAATGGACAGATCATCATCTAAGCAGAAGATCAACAAGAAAACAATGGTTTTGAATGACACACTGGTCCAAATGTACTTAACAGATATATTCAGAAAATTTCATTCTAAAGCAGCAGAATACACATTTTCTCCAGTGCACATGGAACATTCCCCAGAACAGATCACATACTGTGTCACAAATCAGCCCTCGACAGTTATAAAAAGACCAAGATCATACCATGCATATTTTCAGATCGCGACCCTATGAAACTTGAAATCAACCGCAAGAAAACAATTTGGAAAGCCCTCAAAAACATGGAGGTTAAAGAACATCCTACTAAAGAATGAATGTGTCAACCAGGAAATTAAATAACAAATTAAAAAATACATGGAAGGAAATGAAAATGAAAACACAACAATCCAAACCCTTTGGGATGCAGCAAAGGCAATCCTAAGAGGAAAACACATTGCAATTCAGGCTTATCTCAAGAAGCAAGAAAGGTCCTAAATACACAGCCGAACTTTCCAACCTAAAGGAGCTAGAAAAGGAGCAGCAAATAAAACCCAAAGCAGAAGAAAGGAAATTATAAAAATTAGAGCAGAAATAAATAATACAGAAACAAACAAAAAAAACACAGAACAGACCAATGAAACTAAAAGCTGGTTTTTTGAAAGAATAAACAAAATTGATAAACCCCTAGCCAAACCTCTCAAAAAGAAAAGAGAGGAACCAAGCAGATAAAAGTATGAATGAAAGAGGAGAGATCACAACCAACACCCCAGAAATACAAACAATTATAAGAGAATACTGAAAAATTATATGCCAACACTGAACAATCAGGACAGAATGGACAAATTCCTAGATACTTACATACTACCAACTGAAATCTGTCCCAGGAGACAGCTATTACCAGAGATAACTTCTTATACCAAAAAGACTTGATCTGCACGGCATATTTGTTCTTCTCATCCTCCTGTGAATTGCCTTCCTCCCCGCTGAAGCCCCAGACCTGCGGCTCCTTAGCTCAGGATGGTAGGTATATAAGCCTCAACTGCCTGACTGCTTTTGAGTCTCATATTTTTATGGGGCTCCCATACATATGAAATTAAATCTTTCTCACCTTACTCTGTCTTCTGTCAATTTAGTTAGTAGGGCAGCCAAGGAACCTAGAAGGGAAGAAGGGAAAAGTTTTCTGCTTCTACTTGATATATGTATCAACATGGACAAGTCCCCAAAGTAGAATATTGAGTGAAATAGTTGTAAAACATATGTGTATAGTATACCATTTACTTAGCTTTACAACATATATAACAATCCCATATATTGTTTGTGGTTAGTACATAATTGGTAAATATAAAAATCCTTTTGGGTATGTGAAACACCAAATTCAGGATAGTGGTTTCTCTGGAGAGAAGGGTGATGGGTGTTGAGGAAGGCATTCCTGATGAGCACTGGGTGTTGTATGTAAGTGATGAATCACTGAATTCTACTCCTGAAACCAATATTACACTATATGACAACTAACTAGAATTTAAGTAGAAACTTGAGAACAAACTGAGGATTGATAGGGGGTGGGGGAGAAGGTAAAGTGGGTGATGGGCATTAAGGAGGGCACTTGTTGGGATGAGCACTGGGTGTATGTAAGACAATTTGACAATAAGTTATATTAAACAAACAAATAAATAGAAACTTGAAAGAAAGAAAGAGAAAAAGAAAAAAGAAAGAATAAAACTTGCTTCCAACTTAAAAAACCTAATTGCTTTTCAATTAAAAAAAAAGAATAACAAAGTCAAAAGTTTTCTTCAGGAAGACAATGTTGATTATATTATTCCCTCCCTACACTTAACTTGTAAACCTCAAATTATTTCACAAGAAAAAGGAGGGCCCAAAGATCAGTGTTAGAATGCCCATCAAGGTCTGCTCAAGAAAGAAAGTACTCTGACAAGCTAGCCCACAGACGTATCTGCTCCAGCATGTCCCAGCTGTTGAAATACATGTATCAGTACATCAGTGCCTGATGATATTCATCATCTGAATCATACAACCAACTTTCTGGCTCAACTTGAAACTCAGCAGGGAGCTGTCTGCAAATTTTGGTTTCCTGTAATTTTCCCAAAAAGAGAAAGCATTCACTATCCATTCTCTAATATAGACACCTAGTGTTTCTGGCAGTGCATTTCTGACTTTCTGGTTCCCTCTTGACATTCTGGTTTTCATACTTCAGTCCCTGGTGAGTTTAGTTACAAACAAACAGCTTTCCTGAGTCTAATCAACTCTGCAACATGAGCGCATCCTATCTGAGCCTACAAGAATGATGGCCAAACCCAGACCCCTTTTCCAGGCAACAGCCCAGCCTTATTCTTTGCCTCTTCCAAATTTCAAGAGTTCAGGAGCAAAAACATTATTCTAGTAAGAGAAAACAAATTTCACGCAAATGCCTAGTTGTATAGCTAAGCCCATTTTTCATGTGTCTCTCTTCTCTTTGTTAGAACCACAGAATCTAAAGGGTAGAAAAGGGTGAGGTAATTGTTTCAGGCAGTATCTAATAGGGTCTCAATACCTTGTCCAGAGTCTGGACCTCACTTCTGAAGATGAAGAAAGTTGATTTTTTTTTTTCTGTACACTCAGATGTAACCAAGCTCTGAGAGACAGATTCATACTAAACAAAGCCTTAAGGATCTAATTCACTAACTACAAAATACACATGCATTGCGAACAGGAAACAGTTGTCCACCACAGGATATCCCCTCCCACTGGATAGATTCATTTAAGAGATTATCAGAGGTTGTTAAATGAGCTCAAGAGCAAAAGAGTTTTATTCTCAAAAGGTTGCCCTATCATGTTATGGTAACCTGGTGATTTTAACAATTTTCCCTAAAAGGGAAAAGAGTACGAAATTAACGTCTTTATTGAGTACCATGTGAGCTGGGAATATTAAAGTATGTGTTTTATATGTATTATTAAATATATTATTTATTGCTTAGTTTCATTCTCATTACAACCTTATGACTAGAGGTTTTTTATATTCATTTTATTAAAAAGGAAAGGTGAGGGGCGCCTGGGTGGCGCAGTCGGTTAAGCGTCCGACTTCAGCCAGGTCACGATCTCGCGGTCTGGGAGTTCGAGCCCCGCGTCAGGCTCTGGGCTGATGGCTCAGAGCCTGGAGCCTGTTTCCGATTCTGTGTGTCCCTCTCTCTCTGCCCCTCCCCCGTTCATGCTCTGTCTCTCTCTGTCCCAAAAATAAATAAATAAAAACGTTGAAAAAAAAATTAAAAAAAAAAAAAAAAAAGGAAAGGTGAAGTGAGTTCCTTACATTAGTAGAGCCAGGTTTGAGAACCAGATCTGTCTGACAAACACATCTTCCACGCTAGTAATATTTCTCTTTAAACAACTACAGTTAACCCCTGAACCACAAGCAGGTTAGGCACGCTGACCTCCCCCCAATAAGCACAGCTGAAAATATGCAGATAAGTTCTGGCTCATCCAAAAATTTAATTACTAACAGCCTACTGTTGACCGGAAGCCTTACCAGTAACATAAACATTCAAATAACACATATTCTGTATATGTATTATATAACAACATTCTTACAATAAAGTAAGCTAGAGAAAATGTTAACAAAATCATTAAGAAGAGAAAATATATTTAATAGTACTGTACTATATTTATCCCAAAAAATGCACACATAAGTGGAGCAGCGCAGTTCAAACCTGTGTTGTTCAAGGTCCAACTATACAGATACCTCAAACCAGAACAGCTCCCTCTTCTGGGCACTGCGGAAGACACACCAACTAATAATAATCCTGACTCCCCTTTTCTTGCCCTCAATACAAGGATACTTAATGTCCTTGAGGGACACTTGAGAAATACCCTCACTCATTAGCAACACACTTAGAAACAATTTCCAAGGGAGGTTCCCTGCTGCAGATAACTCATGTCCTCACATTTATTTATCTCATCACATTTAATAGTCCTCATTAAGTTCCATTCCAGGGGGTGGCATTTCTGACCCTGTCCTCCTTAGGGTATGCCTCATTTGAAGTTCACTGTGGACTAATTAGAAACAACCACCCACAGTGTTACACTCTTTAAAAGACAAAGATCTTATAGCCACTGCCCCCAACACCCAGAATTCCCTGTCCCACTACCTACTCCTATGCTCTCTGATTCCTTCGCCCTGTGTGTTCTACCCCGTGGATGAACTATCCCAGAGCAGCTTTCCTGGCTGCTGCTTGGTCCTTATCTACAAAGCTGGAGCATTCCAAGTGTTGAAGGTCTTAAATCAGCAGGTACTCTGAGGCACAGAGCTGGGACAAATCCACTGTTGCAATACTGCCAGACTTTACAGCAGAGAAGGGGAACTCCATGCAAAGTTATCAAGGAAATAGTATGCTGGGGACCAAAGAGCAGGTGTCTCTGGCTCACGCATGTAGGGCAAAAAGAGAGTATTGGGAACTGTAGCAGGAAAAGCAAGCTGGAGGCAAGCTCTAATGGGCATAAATGGAGTTGAAGTAAGCAGAAAAGAAAACCCAGTGAAGCACATTGATAAAGATGAATCAAAGCAAGGAGAGAAGCAGAAGAAAGTGGTGTTCCAGAACCAAAAAGAATTCCAGTAAGTAATGGGCATGAACATAAAACGTAGTTAATAAAGTTATAGTAAATAAAATGGTAGGGTATTGGTAGAAGAGTACATAATGCAGATCAATATAACTGAATAAACAGTCCAGAATCAGGTCCTAATATTTTATAACTGAAATGTGGAATATCAGCTACAAAGTCAATATATGTAAAGCAATTAGAAGAGTGTCTGGTCCAGCAGCACCTGGGTGGCTCAGTCAATCAAGCATCTGACTCTTGGTTTCAGCTCAGGTCACAATCTCATGGTTCATGAGTTCAAGCCCAGTATCAGGCTCCATGCTTGGCAGTGCAGAGCCTGCTTGTGATTCTCTCTCTCTCTCTCTCTCTCTCTCTCTCTCTCTCTCTCTCCTTCTCACCCACACACGTGCATGTGCAGGTGTGTGCTCTCTCTCAAAATAAATAAATAAACTTAAAAAAAAGAAACCCGAGAGAAAAGTGTCCAGTACATAGTAATCAATGAGCATATGTTAGTGGCTATTCTTATTTACCACTTGTTGTTATGGTGGTTGTAATTATTATTAAAAATCAGTGTGGAAAAGAAAGATCCCTTCAAGACGTAGGGTGGTAAAGAGAAGAATAGACAGGAGGAGAGAAGCAGCAAAGAAGGCAATTAAACCGTATGCTGGAAACTAAATAAAAATTTACCAGATGAATAATATCTATAAGCCAAGGGGAAGGAGACTGTGAGACAGTCAGTACCAGAGAGAGGGATTCACTGCTGGCCCAAGGACTGAGAAGAAGTGACAAAATGGAATCAAAAGCACATACAGAGAAATCAGTCTTGAAAGGGAACAGGGCACCTCACACTTCTGAGGCAAAAAGGAGATAAAAAATAAGTGAAGACATAACTATGTCAATGTTCTATAAAGGGGTCCTAGGATGAGCTGCATCAGAATTGGCTGAGGCAAATTCTTGGACTCCACCCCACACCCAGGGAGTCAAAACTTCTAGCCGATGAGGCCCAGCAAACTGCATTTGAATGGTCTGTGATCTACTGCTTTCCTTTCAGAAGAGTGGAATTTAGAATTCATATCCATTGGCCCCTATGGAGAAAGAAAACCAACTCCTTAACCAGCCACAATTATGACTAAGCCGACCAGGTCCCTCAGATGGAGAGGAAAAAAGGTCTTTACACCCTGAGATAAGCTAAAAATAAGGAAGAATATTCTACCTAGAATTAGTCTCTCAAAATCAATGAAGCCTGGAGCCCTTTCCTGTAAAGTTCTAACTCCCTAACATAAAAAAAACTTCTTGATGTCTGCAATGCTAACATCTACAAGCATGAAAATCCTGTGGGGAAACCACTCTTTTTCCACATAAACACACTAAATGTAGCCTTGGCGATTTGTGATTTTTTTTCCTTTCAATGTCTGCAGTGTCATTTATTCAAGGGAACAGTCTTCTCCAGACTGGACTCCTAATGTTTATTCAATTACTCCACCACCTTAACATAGGAAGAGGTGAAGTGATCTAAAAGGAAGATGGGGGAGGGAGGGAGACTTGAAAAAAGCAGAAACAGTGTGAAATA